CGGAGGTTCCTTCTCTATTCTCTCTCTCTTTTTACTGCTTTATTTATCGCTTTCTTTGTGTGCATTAGATAATAAGGTCATGTAGATATTTAAATTCTGCAAGTAAATAGAATAATAAGGGTAAAAGCATAGTTTCTTTAAGTGTTTATTTTTAAGCTAGTCCATCATAGGGAACCTGAAAGGGGAGTTGTGGGGTGCTAACACCTTCCTCACACGTAACTAACTCCCTTACCCGACTCTGGTTGTAATGACCAAAGTTGGTTTTTTTCTAAAACCACTGTCTTCTTCTTTTTCTTTACCTTTTTCAGTGTTTAAGGTTAAAACACTGATGACAACTCCTCGAACCTTTTCGGAAACTTCGCCTTTAGGTCCAGCCTGGTTATCAGACAAGCTAGAGGCGTTAAACCATTTCTTTCAAAAAATGTGAGTCAATCCAAAACCATCACATCGTTCCGACCGCCTCTTCTAATGGCGGCGACATCCCTCTTTTTTCATAATGGCTAGGTCAAATTAAGAACATCAATTAACCTATCAATGTTGGTGCCACCTACTCAAATCAATCACTTTAATTCCTCGCATGTGAAATTCATAACAAAACCTAATAAACGTCGATTCCTCACACAATTAACATATTTTCTAGCATTAGGTTTAGGGTGTTAAGCACTTGATACATTCATTCCATTCCTAGTAATTGACATAGAAAATATTCTTACCTGATATAGGGTTTCAAGATATATTTTCCAATCATATCTCAACACATCAAGAATAAATCATTCCAAGGCACAAAAGATAAGAATAACAACATCAAGAACATAGATTAATATCTCAAAATATCATCAAGATACAAAAGAGTTCAAAGGAAGTGCACCCAATCCTAAGAGGATGAAGTTAGCCACTCATGGTGACCATTACAATGCTCTAAATGAGGAAAAATTGAAGAATCCTTGAAGAACAGAACCACAACCATGTCTCTTCTTCAAAAACCTAAAATTACATATCAAAACGTGTCTTATCTTTTTATAGAAAAATTTGGGTTGGGTCTCGCATCATTCATGCACTCAAGCGTTCTTCTTTCTTTCAATTTTTCTTCAATTACTTCACAATTATGATCTTTGCTCTTGTATCTAGGTATTATGCAAATTTATCCTACATTGGAAGAAAAATATATTAGAATCACTATAACTTAAGTGGTTATATCACAATTAAGAGCATAATTACATCAACTTTTACCACTTAACAATAACATAATTGATATTGTTATGACATAATTGGAATACATGATAAGAATATGATTTACAGATTAATAATATAATATGAGTAATATTAAGATTATATTAATATGATAAAAAATGTAATTGAGATTGTCTTGACATGGTGTGAATATGATTAATATTTGATGAATGTAATTGAAAATTGAGATTTGTGTGATGATGAAATATTGACCTCTATGAGTATATATGCTACAAAAGGGTAGCTAATATGTGAAAATTACAACATTAGTGTCATCCATAATCATAAGGGATGATATGGATAATATAGATAGATACACTTAGTATAGTTGGGAAGCGGTCTTGGAAACTTGAGAGGGAATTGGAGGATATTGAAATTGTCCAACCTTGATTACACAATGTGTTTGGGGTTGATACTGGTCTCACACTCGGCTATTCTTATTGTTAAGGGATTGAGTATGCACATGTTATTTTGTGGAGTGTATTGCTAACCAACAATTATTCCACAAGAGTACAAGACTAATATTAACCAAATTATATTGAGTCCACTAAGCCACTTTGGCTACAAAAGTACACTAAATACTTATAACAAATGCGAGTATACCATGCCACTCTTAATTATCAACGCTAATATTCTCTCAGGGACTAAGATGAGTATTATTTGTTGTCACTCCTAACTACAAGAATAATTGTACAAATAGTATAATTACTAGAAAAACACTCACAAATAGGATAAAATATAAGTTTTTTTTTTTATGAAGTTAACTTCATTAGTTGAAGGTTATAACAATGTTTTCTCTCCTAATCTTTTAAATGAAGATGGTCACGGAAGAATGTGTAAGAAGGTAGTGCATTGTTTTGAAAAAAAAACTCGTGATTTTGATGACAACAAATGTAATTAAATTTTGAAGTTTTTAATATATGTGACAAGTGTGTCTCATGAAATAAGCTAATAGACATGTCATCATTTGATAGTCACTAGACTAAACCAACTAAATATTAAATACATAATAATTCTTAAAATAAATTATCAAGTTGGTGTCTAGTAAATGTGACTAGATTTGTTCTTCATTGGTGTCATCAAGATTGTGCCTTGTGATAATGTTTACATGTGACTTGTTGATCTTGTAGTTTTCAAAATTATTAGTTATAACTTACTTTTGAGTTTGCGAAGTAGGGTTCATGCGCATACTGGTGAATGATCTACTTAGTATGACGAGACAATTGGATATAACTTTTGATTGGAAGGTAAACTAATATAATTCTCATGCATATATGTTTTGTTTTTCATATCTTGCAATTATATTATGTGATTTTACACATTTAATTGTCTCTATGCTACTTATATCTTGTCCATATCATTTGTTATAACTATCAGCTAATAACATTAACTAGTAGCGACCTAACAATGTGTCATATAATAATTTATCAATGAGAATTTTCTTTCTAATTTGTGAAAATCTTTGGCAATTTTTTATAATTCAATTCAACCCTTCTTGAATTCCGAAATTTTTTTCTTCTTAATAGAACACTCATTTATACTAGTTTACTCTAACTAAGTTTCTCCATACCATTAGAAGATTACACTATAGTCAAACTAATTAAACAAATATTTTAAATTACTATTTTTGATTTATAATGAGTATAAAGCATCACTCCTAACAAAGTTGTTTAAGTCCCATAAGTTAGGAAAACTAGTATTCTTTAATGACTAAGCTACTATTAACTCTGTAGAATATAATACCCTTCCATGTAAATTAACTAAATTCTTCATTAGATATTTACTTTTACTAAGTGAGGAAGGTTTTACATTAATCACTCTCTATGAACAAATATCTAATAAACTTTAAAAGAATATAACAAATTTTAAATTCATAGTATTTTGTTTTACATTGATAGCTTTCTTATTAAATATTCATGGGACCTTTCCTTTTATAATGGTTTGCATGGGATAAATTGTGACACATAAAGGTCATTGTGAGAATGAACATTATGAATTTTAACATCTCTGTAACATTATGAATTTTAACATCTCTATAAGCTTTCAAAAAAAGGTATAATAAAAGGATCAATTTTATCATGTATGAGTCAACCATTTGATAGTATGATGAAAATCATCTAATACAAATCTTCTAATTTTTAAAGTCTGATGATGAACTTTTAATGGTTGAATAAGATGGTCTAATAGAGTTTTTGATGGATTTCTTAAAAAATTATACTTGTCTAACAAACATGACTTATTTTTAGTCTAACATTTAGTATTATTGAAGACTTTGGATCATCTATTGTCTAAAATCTAATGTGATGTGCTATATTGTCATGAATATAGACAATTTGATGCATAGTATTTATCAAGACTACACATTTCTATTACTCTATTCTCGTCATCTCCTATTAACCCATTTGATGATTTAAGTTGTATTTTGGACATCATACACATTTGATTTTTCTATGAGACACTTGTCTTCTTAGTCCTTTTACATGTAATTCAAATAATTATTGAATATATCTTATGACATATCATCAAAACTTGATAATATTTATTATTATCAAAACATGTGGGGATAAGACATTTATACCCTTTGAATAGAGTTACTGCATTGTAGTGAGTCTTTTGAGAAACCTTGTTAGAAGATATTGAAAATATGGTGAAAAATGAAACGACTTTTCTTACAAAATTCTCTACCAAAGGGAAGTGAAGATTACTATGATAAATTTTATCATACATATTTACTTATGAGAGTATACAAATGTAAAGTTTGTGATTATAAATAATGTTAAGATAAATAATATATTCTTACTTAATAAACAAACTAAAATAATTTGCCGTTTCTCATTATAATCACTTATTCTTCATGAGAAGCTTTAGGAGGAAATTTCTCTTCAAAACATACTTCTAAAAATATTTATTTATTAACATTTTTTAAAAAATATTTTATGAAACACAGTTGGCTTTTATGTTGTAGAAAGTACTTTTTGAAATATTAAGAGAATAAAAATATGTTCCAAAAAGTATATTTTATAAAATATTTTTCAAAATGTTTCCTTTACAATCAAAATGTAACTTTTTTTTGGTATATATTTTTATTTTTCTCAATATTCTGAAAGATAATTTCTAAAGATATTTTTGGTATATGGAATGTTAAATAAAATGAATATATTTGAAGAGTATTTTTGTATTTAAAAATACTTTATTATAAAAAAAAATCTAAAAACCATTTTTCAAAACATGCTGTACATCTAATGTAATTTTGATAATACATTTTTGTTTTTTCAATATTCCAAAATATACATTTTAAAACATGAAAATGAGAAGAGTATTGTGAAAAATATTCTCCAAGAAAATAAAAGTGTTCCGAAAGATACTTCTGAGAACAACTCTTTATCTCTTTTTACATAACACATTTGGTTTTCTTAATGTTTTGAAGAGTAATTATTAGAACACATTTTATATTCATAACTAACGCATTGGGCTGAACATGCAATCAAGAAAGATAAAAAAATATAGCAAATAGATCATTTTAAATAAAAGAAAGAAGGGTGTGTTTAGCAAAACCAAAAATACAGAACCCAATATTGACGTTTCGTTTCTCTTTCCCTTACAATCGCTTCCTTCCACTACTTCCAGAATTGTGGAGACGTTTCGCGAATCCTTCACACACTCACGTCACTGAAACTATATGTATCTGAATCCCACGCTTCCCATTCTTTAAATTTCTTACTAAAATTCTACAAGGTTACTTGGTTTCGTGTTTCTCTATAGTCGTTCGAATGGCTAAAGAAGGACCCAACTGGGATGGGTTGCTCAAATGGAGCATTGCTAACTCCGATGGAACTCGCCCCACTCGCAATTTGAGGTCCGAATTCAATTTTCACCTTTTGTTTTTCTTGGGTTGAAGCCCTCTTTATGTTGATTCCGGTTAATAAAACTGTTGGATTTTCATTTCTGTTAGTTTTAGTTGCTGGAAAACGCATACCCACGTTTTAAAATTTAATCTTTGAATGAAAAATATGTTTTCAAACGATTGATTAGGATTGAGGAAGGTGGGGCTACTCACTAGTGGACCAGGGGTGTGATTTTGTGATTTGTTGTGCTTTTATTTGTTTCGCTCTTTGGTGTAAAATTTGGTCCGTGAGGTTGAATTTGAATTGGTGTTATGGCCTTCTGATTTTATAAGTATATGATTTGAATAGTAATAATTTCTTTTCTTCGGGGCTGCAGTGTGTGAAATATGTAGTCATTAACGAAATTGAAATGTTTTTGGAAATCACGAAACATATTGTAGAGTAAGGAGGGGGGCTGATTTAATAATATTCCGTGGATTATGATTGACTTTTGTTAATGTTGTTATTCTCTAGCTAAGAAATGAACAGTGTTTTTTGTTTTAGTTTATATGCTGAGTTGCAAATCCTTTGTGAACAAGTGAGCATTATTTTTTGAAGAAAAGGCTTATTCATGAATATGGAGCCTAAAATTAGAGGACTTGGTTTTTATTCTATGAATTTTATGATTCTGTAGTGAGGAGGATCGGAAATGGTTTATGGAAGCAATGCAAGCACAGACCATTGATGTTGTAAAACGTATGAAAGAGATCACACTTGTGATGCAAACTCCAGAACAAGTCTTGAAAGACCAAGGAATCACCCCTGCAGACATTGAAGGTACTCAACAATCACCAAAGAGCAAGACTACTTAAAAATAAGTTGCCTTTGATTTTTAGTTTATGATAGGCTTTGATAATATCATGCTATCTCATTGATATCTAACTTGATTTTTTACAGATATGTTGGATGAGTTGCAAGAGCACGTTGAGTCGATTGACATGGCCAATGGTAAGCTTTAAGGAGTTGTCATGGTTAAACTTGTATATTTAGGTTGGCCGTGGGGGAATTACCTCTTATTTTTGTATACCATGATTCAATTCATCGGGTAGGTTTTTGGTAGCTGTCTCTTCAATATTTGCTGGATGATGAAGTTTCCTAAAATTTGGGCAGTGTACCAGTCAATGTTAGATGAATAGCAATCACTTGTTTCAAATTGTTATGAGATCATTATTTTTTTTCCTCTTATTTTCCATTTAATCATAGAAATAGTTGGCACTGTTGAAATATGATTTTTCTACTGCTAAACGGTACATTTTTACCTGTTTTGCATTTGTTTTAGTTTATGTTATTTTTGATAATTGGTTGGTTGGTTTGTGGTTTTGTTTTATGATTCCACAACTGTTTGCCTCACCTATTTCTCGCCATTATCTGTTTCCCAGATCTCCACTCCATTGGCGGGTTGGTTCCTCTTCTTGGTTACCTGAAGAATTCTCATGCTAATATTCGAGCAAAGGCTGCTGATGTGGTGACTACAATAGTCCAGAATAATCCTCGAAGTCAGCAACTTGTTATGGAGGCAAATGGCTTCGAGCCTCTTGTTTCTAATTTCAGTTCAGATCCTGATGTCACTGTTAGAACTAAAGCGTTGGGTGCAATATCTTGTAAGTGTTATCATACATTGGAGTTGTGATATTTTGTTTCCTTGGAAATGGAATGGTACTGATATTTCTGCTTTTGGAATAACTTGACAGCACTTATTCGACACAACAAACCTGGTATCACTGCGTTTCGCTTAGCAAATGGTTATGCAGCCTTGAAAGATGCACTAACCTCTGAGAATGTGCGATTTCAAAGGTAACTAGAGTTTTTCTGAGAAGTGTATTATTTTTGGTTTGTCATTTCCTTGGGTGTTTATTCCTCATTATTGTAGGTACTTTATTTTAACTTACATCTTGTTCATTTCTTAACTTATTTTACCTTATTGATTAATTAGTCTTTTCAACCTTTACTATGAAGGATCTGTTTTTTTGTACTTTTTTTAAATAAACCAATTGCGTTTAAAGACAACTTTTCTGTGTTTGTTGTGGCTGAATTCTAACTTCGGTTAATTTTACAATGTTCCAGGAAAGCACTCAACTTGATCCATTACCTGTTGCATGAAAATAATTCAGACTGCAACATTGTGAACGAGCTTGGATTTCCTCGAATGTTTATGCACCTTGCCTCAAGTGAAGATGCAGATGTCAGAGAAGCTGCCCTCCGGAGTCTTCTCGAGGTTGCTCGCAATTCAAAAGAAACAGAGGAAGACAGTGAGAAAATGAAGCAACTTCTTCAAGAAAGAATAAACAGTATCAGTTTAATGTCAGCTGAGGACCTTGGTGTAGTAAGGGAGGAGAGGCAGCTTGTGGACTCCCTGTGGAGTACTTGCTTCAACGAGCCTTCTTCTCTTAGAGAGAAAGGTCTGCTTGTGCTTCCCGGGGAAGATGCACCCCCTCCAGATGTTGCTAGCAAATTTTTTGAGCCTCCTCTTAGATCTTCTGTGAATCCATCTTCCAAGAATGTCTCAAACAATGATAAGAAAGAGACCCCTTTGCTTCTAGGGCCAGGTCCTTCATCTGCAGACACTAGCAATCCAGTTAGTTCTAATAGGGAAGGAGATGCTAGATGAAATGAAAGCTTAAATGTTTGTTTATTCTGATTTTATATCTTATGCTTTCTTTATATCTTGACATACAATAGTAATTTTTTCTTTCACTTATACACTATGTTTATTTTTCATCCCTACTTCTCTCACCTCAGATTGGTCTTCCATTGAATTTCTATGATGATCTCATGGTATGTAACTATAACTAGCCTTCATCAGTGCTGAACAACTTTATATTTTTGCAGTCAGTCCTTGTTTAGATGTCACATTCCCACTCTTAAATTTAATTTTTGCCTTGTGGACGTGTTTATCCTGAAGAAAAAGAGAATATGATTGTTATAAATAGAAAATGGACTGATTGTATGCTGAACTCTTGGAGCGTGCATGTACCATTCCACCTTAGTTATTGTAATTCATTTGTATAGTATTGATTTAGTTTTAGTACATATGTCTATGATAATTAGGTTTCTCTATATTTATAAGGTTAATACATCAATTAGTTCAAATGTTTATTTCAAGGTATTTGTAAGAATTTCTAAGAATATTACAATAAAAAAATCAGGAATCAATGTATCCCTCATTCACAAATCCACTCTTTGTTTAACTACAATAAAACAACCATCACCATAACGGTAGATAATATAATATGTTAAAAAAATAATATAATAGCTGAATCGTTTAAAAATTTTCAAGATGCGTTCTCTTAGAAAAACTTTTGGAAATTGTATTCTTAAAACTTCAAACTTCGGGGCATTCGCAAAAAAGAGTTAAAGAAAGGAAAGATTTATATAACGAACAATTGTAAGTTATGATTTACGTCTAGTTATGAAAGAGTTTAAATTTCAGTAATCCGAGTTTAAATTTTCAATAATCAAATATTATGATTGTATATCTACTTTCATCATAAATACTCGAATTTGTCTTATAGATTTGTTATATATAATACATAGGTTATTATTATTATAAATCCATTATTCACAATGTATTACTAGACTATGATTGTTTAAATGTGTTGTTATTATAATAAAATATATCATAATTGAATGAAATAAATAGTATGGATGTAAGAAGAAGATTTATTTCAACGCAATCTCAATTTTGTATTCACGTTTCCTCTAGTAATGTATTTATCATTCACGTGACAATTCTCAATATAGACTTATTAATTTTCCTACATCCCTTTATTCATATGGATTTGTGTTAAACTTCCTCACAAGGCAAACAAGCTCGTTGGAAAAAGTCTATAAGTTCATTCATGAACAATAAAAAGTCCATTTTAAAAATGATAGTTCTAAAAAAATATTTTAAAAAAATTCAGTATACACATGTAGAAAATATTAATTTGTCGAAAATTGTAGTTATTCATGACATTATTTAATTAAATAATTAATATTAATATAATTATTTAATCTAATTTGATTATAAGTCACAAAGTTATAAAGAAGAAACTATATTTCTATAAATAAATAAAATAAAAAGAATTATAAACTCCAACAACATTGATGCCATTTTTGTATCTTATTATAGTGATCAATTATAAATCCGTATAACAAATTGAGTACAATTCATCATTTGTAAATTAGGAATAGTGGAGCTTCAATATTTAAAAAATATGTACTCGTGTTTACTAAAATCTAACTATCATATAAATGTAATAATTATTAAACACATATTTAATAGATAATATATTATTTAAATAACTTATTTCTCTTACTTTTAAATAAAAATTACTTTCTTTCGTAATTTTTACTTTACTAAATAATTAATATTTTATTTTATTTATATTTTTTTTCAACTTTTTTTATTTTCTATTTTATTCTTTTTATTTCTCATTAAAATTTTGTAAAAGTAAAAATAAAAGTACTTAAATCCAATTAAGTTGCTTCACTCGAATTTCTTAATGAGAATGAACTTTAATTTTGTAAATAATTATAAACATATCATTTTTTATTTCTATTTAAATATAATAAAATAATTTAATTTAGTTTAGTTTCGATAATTATATATATATATATATATATATATATATATATATATATATTTAAAAACAAGAAATAAAATAAAACAAAATAAAGATGTTTACTTTCCATTGAAAATATTTGACACCATCATGGTACATTGATAAAAAATTTCCTAATCACATATGGACGTGAGGAGAGTGCAAAACAATGATCCGGAGCAAACCAATACAAATGGGATCCGTGGGGTGTAGGGATGGAAATCAGGACATAGAATAAACGCTTGCGATCCAAGATAGAAAGTGGGTGGTTAAAGGATTACTTGAGAAAATAGTTGAGTATAAATAGAATAATTTTAGGAGTGAGGAAGGGAGAAGGAAAAAATTAGTTGAGATTCTCTTTTTTTCTCTGGCTCAGTTTTCTGTTCATGAATGTTATATTGATAAGAAACGTTTGTATATGTACTAGGCATCTTTAAATAAAAATTCTTTGTGATTAGTTTATAGTGTACTAGCATATTTTGTAAATGTTGATTCCCTTATTTTAGCCATCACGTCATGTTATCTTACATTGGTGCTTTCATCTTTTATCATGGCTGAGAATACTCGAATCAGGGAGCTACAAGCAGAGATTTCTAATTTGAAGAAATTTGTCGTTGACATCAAGTAATTGGCCAATGTAGTGGATGCTACGGTTTGTGATTTGAAGAGTTTGATTACGTAATGAACAACATGATGGTTTTACTCGAATTGAAACGTTGGAAACTTAAATGGATTCGGTGTTGAAATGATCCAAGCTTTGCAAACAAGTTCGCATACTTTTTCTATGTCCACAACATTTCAAGTTCATAATGTCAAGTTAGATTTTCCTAAGTTTGATGGATATGAGGTGTTGCAATGGATTTTCAAAGTGAAATAGTTTTTTATTATTATAAAACTTCAGATGAACAACAATTTCTCATTGCTTCTGTTCATCTAGAAAAGAAAGGGGTTCCATGATTCCAAATGCATACCTGAACTCACGCATTTTATAGTTAGATTGCGTTCACTCGTGTGTTGGAGTTGGAATTCAGTCCTCCACCTGATGAATGTTATCGATCAGATTTGTTTAAACTTACACAGGAAGGTTTAGTGCAAACAATATTATGTTAAGTTTACAACTCTAGCCAATCGTGTACAAGGTGTAACCATGAGACTTTATTGGATTGTTTTGTGGGTGGTTTGCGACATGGCATTCATCGTGATGTGCTACTTCATGCCTACACTACATTAATGAGATGTGTTTCATTGGCCAAATTGTTTGAAGAAAAGTATGCTACCAAATAGAAATCTTATTGGTCCAATATCCATACAAAAAATTAATCACCACCTGCCACTTCACAATCACTCAAGTCCACTGCATTACCTCCTTATTGGCCAAATCGAATCAGACTCCTATAGTCAGAAATGCGACGGTGAAGAAGATGTCTCCTGTAGAGATTCAGGTACAGAGAGAGAATGGATTATGCTTTACTTGTGATGAAAAATACCTGCCCTTGCATAGGTGTCCTAATAAACAATATCTTTGGTTACACTTAGATGAGGAAGAAGTTTCTGATGAACCTGTTCGGGATGTTAATGTTGTTATGGGTAATACAGAGCCTTAGTTTCAGAGTGAACCTCACTTGTCTTTCAATGCTCTTAAAGGCTCGACTGGAATTGGTACTATGAGATTTAAAGGATTTATTAATGACTTACTTGTGCAAATCCTTCTAGATAGTGGCAATTTGGATAATTTCTTACAGTCAAGAATTGTTGCTTGTCTTAAACTACTAGTAGAACCAATTCAGAATTTTAATGTGATGGATAGTAATGGCAGTTCTTTGGTAATGGAGGGACTCCTCAAGAGATTGGAAGTTACAATTCAAAACCATGCACTTCACCTGCAAACATACTTACTTCCTATCTTAAGTGTTGACCTGGTTCTTGGAGCTTCTTGGTTGGCCACACTAGGTGGTCACATTTCTGATTATTTATATTAGATGATAAGTTTGTCACACTGATGGGGAACAAACCAAGTTACCTGACCAAGCTCAATTTCACCATTTAAGAAGAATGATTTATACTAATTCAATTGCTGAAATGTATTCTCTCCATTTTCAAAATTCCAACAATTCACAAGATCAAATTCTTGACTCACATGTGGACATGGAACCAAAGATAGCCTTATTGTTGCATACACTATCGTGTGGTGTACCTTCTCCTATATCACATAACCATGTTATTCCTCTGGTACACGGTTCGAATCCTATTAAAGTGAAGCCTTATAGATATCCTTTCAATCAAAAGCTCCATATTGAGAAAATGGTGCAAGAAGGAATAATTATGCCTGTCAATATCCTTTTTTCTTTTCCAGTTATATTGGTGAAAAAGAAAGATGACACGTGGAGATTTTGTACTGATTACAAGGCTTTGAATGCCATTACTATGAAAGATAGCTTTCTAATTCCCACAATTAATGAATTGCATGGAGCTAAATTTGTTTCCAAGCTAGAATTGTTGCTCAGTTTTATTGGAAAGGAACGCACCAAGATATTAAGAGGTATGTGCAACATTGCTTGATTTGTCAACAAGTTAAGGTGGGAATAATTTGGTTTACTCTCCCTACTGGTTTACTATAACCCCTCCCTATTCCTGATCAAATTTGGGAGGATTTGACAATGGATTTTATCATGGGTCTTCCTATCTCTCATGGGTTCATAGTAATCTATATGGTAGTTGATCGATTATCTAAGGAAACTAATTTCACCCCAATTAAACAAGAATTCACCAACAAATCAGTTGCAGAAATATTCTTTAAGAACATAGTTAAATTACATGGATTCCCAAAATCAATAGTCTCTGACCGAGACAAAGTTTTTACCAACCAATTTTGAAAAATTCTATGGCAACTCAGCAACACCTCACTCAAGATATCTTCTGCATACCACCCTCAATCAGATGGTTAGTCAGAAATCCTTAACAAATGTTTGGAGTTGTATCTAAGATGTTTTACTTTTGATGCACCTCAGGAGTGGTCTAGGATGCC